AGAGTCCGACTGGCCATCTGACTGTGATTGGCCATTTATTAGAAACAATCACAGATCTACCTGTTGCATTCCACAGCAGCAGCAGAAAAACAGTGTTTACATTTTGTTCCTGAGGCCTCTCATCTTCTCAAGAGGAAAAATCCTAAGGAAAGGATTTTTCAGAAAATATCATGGCTACACCTGGGTGCACCATGGTTTTTCTCACCTCCATTTTTGTTAGCGATGGAAATCCCTCATCTCCTCTCATTCCTAGGGCAAACAACTGGAGGAAAAGGTGACAAACAGGCACTGTACACCTTGGAAAGAAGGGTGAAGCTGACCCATGTATTTCCCTACAGCTCCACTGTGTTTTCAACATTTAACATCTCACAGCTCCAGGGCTGTACACCCTGTAAATACAATCAGTTATTTTAATGGAGTTAATCACTAAAAATCATGCCTTGTTAAAAAAATATAAACTAAAAAACACACAAAATAAAAAATCTTTTTCTCCTTAGACCCTAATCACGTGTGTGTGTCACATCCAGCCTAACAATGACACCTGACTGCTGCAGGGAGTCCCTGTGGGTCCACACTTTGCCTTTGGGGCCTCAAAGTCAAGATTCCTCCTTTCTGGAGACAAACAGCTGGAGGAAGAGGTGTGGTATATTTCCAATGGGGTGGAGGCAGAGCTTCCAGCACAGGTTAGCAAAGACCAGTCCCACGTGCACCGCTCCAGGTGGTGCCTCCACAGCCTGGGCAATTTGGAATCTGAGAGGCAGCAGCATCATCTGTTTACATTAAGCCAAGTTAACAGTGCTAAAGGTTTTGCAAAGGGAGAACATATGGTAGCAAAAACTGGCAGTTTGAGAAAAGCAGCGCCCAACCTACGCGTTTTGAGGAGAAAACATTGATATTGTGCATTCACACCTACAGCTGAAGATACATTTCAGACACCCCAAGGCCGACCTTTGAGAATTATGTAACCAAAAAGGCTCTGGTTGTTTTTTCCTTCCTGACAGGTTAATGTGGTTGAAATTATTTCTGTTCTCGTCACAAACTGTAATGATGGGCCATGTGATATTCCCCACCAAATCCCACAGGCCCTTCCTGGTCCCCAAGAACTCGCAGTGCAAGGATCAGAAGAGACAAGAATACAGCCAATTTGAGCAAGACAGGAGAAAACGCCACTGAATTGGGGTTCTGAAGGCTGTGACTCAGCTGGCCCCTGCTACAACGCTAATCCCCCAGGGGCATGCCCACCACCACCTGGGTATCTACAGGCATCTGTGGCAGATTTTAGAGGACAAACAAAGGCCAAGCTCTGCAAATATTTTAGGTATTTGAGTGAAGAGGATGCAAAGAAGCAAAAATATGGCCAAAACCAACAGGAATTTCATCCTCTACCTCTCTTGCAAGAGCAGCTAGTTCTTGATTCACAAGTTAAAAAAAAAAATTAAAAGATGAGTTTCTGAGAAGAGGTAGCAGAACAGAGTATTTATTTTGAGAGAAAACAAGCTTCCAGATGTTGGTTCAAGCACCAGTTTTCTTTGTATCCCAGAGCAGCTCTGTGCAAACAAAGAAAGCCTCCAGCAGCTCTGTGTGAACCCATCCTCCTGCGGAGCAGGGAGAGCTGAGGGGCAGGGCAGGGCTGACTGAGTTTCCAGGCATTAATTTGCAATGGAGGCCCGTTCTCTATAAACACCGCTCCCCAGGGGACACGTGGAGTCCAGCTGGAAGAACAAGCACTTCCTTCCCTGCTGAATGAGCGCAGCTCTGCTGGTCCAGCTGGTTACTGGATGCAGCCAGGCTGCTCTGGCCAGGCCAGGGCTGCTCTGCTGCTCCAGGGTCAATGAGCTGAGCAGCGTTCCTGGAAGCACAGCCCTGTCCCCACCCAGGCAGCTTCCACAGCCACACGTGCATCCAACGCTCTTGGTTTTGGGAAGCCAGCTACCTTCACACTGACAGGCAACAGGCTCACAATGGGTATTGGGAAGGAATTGTTCCCTGGGAGGGTGGGCAGAGCAGCTGT